TACCTGTGGTCGGAGCAACTTTCGTTGTCATCGACCCACCAAGCTTTTATTCGTTCCAGCAAGTGGGAGGATACAAATGTGACATCTAATACTTCTTTCCTATTGGATACAACAAAGGTAGCTCTGTGTCCCCTATTAATGGGGTGCAGATCCACCTGTGTAATGTAATCCAATAGTTGTGCACCTCTGCTGTTGATATTGGTGCTTCCCCACATGGTGTGGTGGGCGTTGGTATCACTCCCTAACACCAGAGGTAGACCGTTGGTCTCACAGTATGAGACCAACCGACGCATCTCCTCTGGGGGGCATGCATAGTTTCCATCCATATATACTGAGGCTATCACTACCTCTCCAATTCCCACCCACTGGGTACGGATGGCTGTGACATCTCTACAGCATAAGTCAAGCAAGGGCCACACTTTGATGTCCCTACTTGTGATGATGCAGGATCTGCTGGAGTGGGCATCCCGACAAAAAAATTGTAGGTTGCCACAACCCCCCAGACCTCGTATTTTGCCTCTATACCAATACGGTTCTTGTATTAGGCAAATGTATGTGTGCAACTCTGCTAGGGTGAGACATAGAGAAGTCGTACCCTGTTTTGAGTGTTGCAAGTTAATTTGCACCAAGTTCACACTTTTGGTTGTCATATTAAATGATGACAACCCGTTTCGAAGAGATGTAGATGAGTGTGATGGTGTATTATTTGTGATGTTATTGTTAGTCATTGTGAGTAAGGGTTATGACGCGAAGTTAATTTTGAGGGGGTGTTTCAGTTACCCGAAACACCAACTCATCAAAATAGTAATTAAATTCAGCGGGCGGTTTTAGGGCCGCCACACTAGATTTAGGAACGCGACAGAAACAGACATGACCTTGACCTGACCTTATCGAATGTGTCATCCTCCAAGTGGTCGTATCCATGCCCTTGTTGAGTCGAGAGATAGTGGGGAAGAGTTTTTTTTTTGTTAGAAGAGTTGGAAGAGGGAGACTTACCTCTCTCCTTCGAGGTTGAGGAATCACTCCTCACAGATGAGGAGCATCCCCCTTTTGAGGATGCGGTTTGTGGTGGCCAAGGGGAGGAGATGGAGATGGGTGGTGATGCAGGGAGTGGAACACTGCCGCTACTCCCCATCATCACCACCAACTTCAACAACAATGGCCCCAACAGCCGTACGGTGAGGAGGAGGGCGAGGAGGCAAACGGCGAAGGCACTGCGGGCTGGGGGTGCGCCTCCTGCCCCTGCATCCAACGATGACGTCACTGCCACCGCCACCACCACCATCACGGCTCCTACCACCACCACCACCACTACTACTACTACACAAATTGCTACCAACGCCACCGCGACTGGGAGCAGTGTCTTCTTCTCCACCCCAACGACTCCGGGAGGAGTGGAGAGAGTGAAGAGGGTCAATCTTCACGAAATTGACCCCTCACTTAAAAAAAAGAAGCTGCTGGGTCTTCTTCCTCGGCCACCACCAACAAGAAGAGAGGCAGGGAGACCCCAGCCTCCAACAATCCCAGGGAGAAGAAGAGGCCCACCACTTACAGGGATGCTGCGATTGAGGGCAGTGAAGTGGTCATTACTTACAAAGATGACCCTCACCGCCCTCTTTCCAAAAAAGACCAAGAAGTCATCCAGGAGGGACTTCGCTCTGCCATTTACGCTGCAGCAGAGAATACCCAGCTTAAGTTTGGAGGAATTGTGATCCGGGGTGAGGGCATAGTTCTCACATGCCGTGACCCCACCACCAAACTTTGGGCCGAAGGGGAGGTGGACAAGCTGGAAGGGGGGAAATTTGCCACCTGCGACCCTAAACCACCTGAAGAGGAAGTGAAGGTGAGCTTTTGGGTCAGGGAGGCGACACCACCTTTAGCCAAGGTACTCTTCCCCCAGTGGGTGTGGTCATCTGTGACTTCTCGATTCTAACCAAACCATGTTGTGTGATATATCATTTTTCTCAGCCAAATGAGGAGATTGTAATCGCATAATTAAAATGTTGAAACCACACCCCCAGTGGGTGTGGTCATCTGTTACTTTTCGATTCTAACGAAACCATGTCGTGTGAGATATCATTTTCCGCAGCTAAATGAGGCGATATTAATCGAATAATTGTAATTTTGAAACCAGACACCAAGTGGACGAGGTCGTCAGTGACTTTTCGATTGTAGCGTAACTGTGTCATGTCATATATCATTTTTCTCAGCTCGATAAGGACATTTCGACTAATTATTTAAATTTTACGAACCACACTCCCAGTGGGTGTGGTCTTTAACGATTCATGCTTAGTGGTCCTCATCGTGGTCCTCTGTGGTACGACAACGAAAAGTAGAAAATTTCAAATTGATATGCTTCTATAAAATGTATTTTAAATTTGGCGCCGCCGCCGGCGAACACAAGTAAGGTTCAAGCTGTCGCCGCAGATAGTGGCAACAGCGTCGAACTCTGCAATGCATTATTCGAAATTTAGAAAGCCTACCCCCGGTTAGTTTGGTCGTTGGCTCCAAATATGTTGACCCTATCCTCGCATGCGGCATATGATTTTTGCTATCCCAATGAGGCAACGCCAAGCGAATATTGGAAACTTGTAAACCAGACACTGTGGTGTGGTTCTCGGGGACTAACTTTAGGCAACAAAACCCTGGCAAGAAATTTACCATTTCTCGCTGCCCAATGGTGCGATCCGGACGGTTCCAATGGCTGTACCAGGATTTATGTATTCGGGATTTTGTTTAAGCACGTATAATTCAAAATATCTTTCTAGATAAATGACTTATGGTAAATATCAAATATTGTCACATTATATAAGAGAAAGAACATATTTTTTCGGTTTAGAATAAAAAACGACCTCGTTCTTACCACGTAATGACTCCATTGGCATGCGGACCCCATGCCACAATTTTATTATATAACCTAATAAGGCTACGAGAGCCGCCTACTTGAGGGCGTGGCTTTTCAAATTCTGAATCCTATTTTGGGGTTGCCTCTGAGAACAAATCATGTATTGCATACCAGGATTTTATTATCTAAATTTAGTCCAAGGGAACTGTACTCCCTGTGGGTGTGATTTAAAAATTTAGAATAATCCATTGTGCTGGGGAAAATGATATATTGCATGCCAATTGAACGTCGCGAAATGCGATTCGTTGATTCGTTTGTTGGTGTGGTTTTCAAATTTTAAGTTGTGAACCCAGGTTCGCCCAGCAATCCGAAGGATTCGATTTGTCTCACAAAATATTTACGTTATCATTTAAAATAAGTTAAGCTACTTGCACTAGCATACGGCTAACAAGTTTTAACAAATCGATTGACATCCTATTACTTAGTTGAACCACACCCCCCTCCCCACTGGGGGTGTGGTTTCAAAATTTCAATTATGAGATTATGATCCCCTTATCTTACCGAGAAAAATGATATGTCACACGACATGGTTTGGTTAGAATCGAGAAGTCACAGATGACCACACCCACTGGGGGTGTGGTTTCAAAATTTCAATTGTGCGATTAGAATCCACTCATCTTGCTGAGAAAAATGATATGTCGCATGCCATACATGGATGGGTATTCGCAGAAGCGCCAATGGCCACACCCCTTTGTCGCCAAAGGGTCAACGACAACGACATGTCGTTCGGACGGGGTACACCATCAATATTATGTGTAATGGAGATGTTGGATTTCAGAAATCACGGCGTTAAAAAACTTTTTTCTACTTTAATTGTTTGAACTTACCCTTTGACCACTCCCACTTTGACCCAAAATGAAGGGGTGCGGTCAGATAACCGCTGCATACGATGACCTGACTATCCGGCTAGAATTGTAACCGGATCTTTCGAAACCCGACGTAGAATTTTGAAATTCGATGCAGAAGTGTGAGTTGATTTTTTTTACCTTGTCACCTTGATAACCGGGGGGTGGGGCCAAATTTCAAAAATTTGAAAATGTATATTTCGTGTAAGGGTACAAGGTTTCCAAAACCGGCGGAATTTTGAAAATCCATCAAGAACTGACCGTGCAATTAATTCCGAAACTTCACATGTTATAACTTATGGAGAGGTCGGCCATTTAGCCTTTCATTTTTAATAACATTGGCCGATGTTCTACCTTTTCTAAATGGACCATAATGTAAATGATTTTTGTTACTAAAACTTCTAATTTGCAGCTAATACAAAATGGATTTATTTCATTTTGGTGGCAATGCATTCCTAAGTTTGTGCTTTACAATTGCCATGTTGCATAAATTGCATAATAAATCTCAGAGAAAAGTATTGGATTGGAACGTGATAACTTCCATGTTCCTGTCCAATACTTTTCTCTGAGATTTATTATGCAATTTATGCAACATGGCAATTGTAAAGCACAAACTTAGGAATGCATTGCCACCAAAATGAAATAAATCCATTTTGTATTAGCTGCAAATTAGACGTTTTGGTGGGAATTTTTCTCCCTTTCTGGTTCGCGATGCCCCGTTTGGAGTGTGGGAACGGTCACTCTCAAAACCCAAACCCAACTTTTTACATGCAACTGCCTGTCTTGTTTACATGAAAATCAGCTGCTCCTTCGCCCCGCCCCCCCCCTCCATAGAAAAAAGTCTCTCGGCACACAAGGAGACGCACCCGTCGTCTCTGTCTTTTAGTTATGAGATTTTTTCAACGTATATGCATTCTTAATAACGGGGGGGGGGATAATAATGCGAACTCATTACGAGTTCGAATTTTTGAATCACAAAATAGTTTTGAAAAATATTTTGCGAACCTAAATTACCTTTGGAGACGGGGCACGTCCGTAAATCATTTTTCAAGCAAAAAATATGAAATATACGTAAACATATCCGTGAAATTTGTGTAATGTTTGAGCAAACGGGATTTAGAAAGAGGAAAAAGAGGAATGTTGCATCGTTCATTAGATTATCCTTAGCGTTATCTCATTTATGCCAAACGTTATATGCTTTTCCTCTATTCAAAAGGTAAATTCAATTAATTAACTAATAAATTAGTGAATCAATTTAATTTATGCAATTAATTTATTCGATTGAATTTTTGCAAACAATAAACAAAATAAATTCCATATGCTATTACTTATTTTGGTCTGTCTTGTCGATTAAACTCGAGGGTTTTTTTTTTAATTTGGGCTACATACGTAAATTTTGAATTTACATATTGAAAACAATTTATTTATAAGAATTAAAAAAAATCAAATCCAAGAATTTTCTACTCAGCTATCACCCTTACTGATTTCTAGCAATAGCTTCAATAGCCCTCCGTGGCGACTGGGTGACCGTGGTCTGAATTAAAAATTCAATTCCTTCTTTGATCATTTGCTCCAAGGCAATTTTGAAAATTTACTGAGCCCCTTTCGCCACGACCACTTTGGTTCCTTGCTTCGTCCCTTCGACCACCGTTGTCTTGGCGATTACATTCCCAAAAGCGCTAATCGTACCCAGACTAAGGACGTCCATTGCCAATCCACCCACTCCTAGAATTTAATAAATTCCACGAAATTCAAACTAGCTACGAAATGGAATTAATTTCATTTCCACTGGGTGAAAGTGAATTTATTAAATTCCACACAAATTATCTATACTATAAGGGGGAAATGTCTGTCGGCAACGGAAGTGAGACCAAACATTCCGCAAAGGTATTGAAAGTAAAGAAAGTCAAGTTTCTAATTGGACTAAAATTCAAAGTAAATTAAATTCAAAATAATGACTTAAATGTCTGATGGTGGTTATCCTTGGTTAGCTTGCGATATTTAATTATTAGACACCAGATATTTAATTAGTTTGCGTTTTTGCTCCATTAGCAACTTGAAACTTGACTTTCTTTACTTTCGCTTCCGTTTCCGATAGACATTTCGATCGAGCTTATAACTCCCATTCCCACGGGCTTATATGCTAGTTACACAATGATAGAGCTCCAAATTCACTCTGACCAGGTAAAGATTTCATACGACGCTATATTTCGTGCATTAATTGCTTGACGTACCTAACACAGTATTCAGAGTGGCACCCGCGACATCCCTATCTTGTCCACATCTGACCGCATCATCCACTGAGCCCACGACGTGGATAATATCCCACCAGGAAAACGGCTTATTGGCAGATAACGGGGCTGACGAAGAAGTCGCTGGTTCAGGCGGTGGTTTCAAAAATCTGTCAAACTCGTCAGAATAAATTTTGAGTAACTCTTTCGCTTCTTTTATGCTGGTACAAGCAGCAACTAGTTTCAACAATACAGTAACCATCTTAATGGTCTCTTTAGTCTGGCTCGCATCATACTCAAAACACTCATTTGGGACTTCTCCATAGATGGCGGCTCTTATGAATAGCTTTAACGCGGTGATATTTGATTTTTTCTCGGCATCGTTGTCTTCCCTGGTTCCTTTTCTTTTATAGAATTGTAAGTGGTATTGGAATCCTGTGGGCCGGTTTACCGGAACTGGCTTGAGGATAAAATAAGCGTGTCCTTACTCTCACCATGGGGTCGGAGGCGGCGTGATAAATTAACCAGATGCGGATAAGTAGCTCAACCCCCCACCTCCAAATATAAGCCATACCAAGGCCTCCTCTGTTAATGTACTTGTTCTGCGGAAATAAATTGTAGTCGATCATTTTCCCGCCGTATTGTCTCCCAATTAGATGACCGCAATCGTCGCTTTTACTTCCGAGACCTCAGGCGCGAATAATTGTTGCAATTTTTCTAGTTTCCACGGAATAATTTGTGGGTTCCCCTTCGAATTAGGAATAGAACAATGTCTAATTATATGGCTACCGGGTTAACGGTTATTTTTTAATACCTGTGTCCAGATGCTTCGACAAAATGTCCGCTTGTAAGAAAACTGGCTTACTTTGTCCTTCATATCGTCGAAATTCTGGTCTTCTTCCTTCAAATGATTCATCCGGATTTACCAGCCTTGTCACTTTAGCAGATGTTATTGGGACACAAAATCCAGCATCGAAGTTTGTGGGGTCCTCGAATCCATCTATATTGGTGAAAACGTCTGGAATCTCGTCATTAATATAGATTCCCTGATGATCATCGTCATCTAAATCCATATAGTTAAAACCAAATACTAGAGGGCGGCCGGCAGCGTCTCCCATTTTTAGGGTGCTAAATTTGTTCAAAATTATTTTTATTTTGGTAAAATTTCAACCTTAAACCAATGTTTTACCTCTTTTAATATTTCAAAGTGTCGAAATATTTAAATATTCAAGTTGCAGAGATTTAGTTTGTACTACTTTATTCTGCGCAGTGGTGAGCACTAATTTGTATAACGAAAGCAAATATTTGATAACCTGACACAATAGATATCTGTAGATAAGAGGTGCAAATTAATTTAATCTCTTCATACTTAATTCCACTCCACATTTGTTGCTTATGTATCATGGTAATCATAACTGTGGAGGATATGTAAACCTGACTAATTGATTTAAAAAATTCCATATGCTGTTGAATATGACTCATAATATGAGTCTCGTATTATATATTTCTGCGGTATTAGTAATTTAGTTTAATGAAGACATTAAATAGAGCGCAACATAGAAATTAGAGATGATTCGCAATAATTTTAGACACAGAAATAATGTTTTATATATGTATGTATTAAATCTCAATATTTCTCATATTCCTCACCTCATGCCCAACTTAGGAGGGGAGCTTCACCACCTGCCCTTCACAGATCTGGATGCGCTTTGGATATGTGGTAGTGTCCCATGAGTGTACTAAAACCCTGAAGTGGTTTGACTCCATGGCCACATTTGCGCCCGCCACACCCACTCAAAGGCGCCAAAAAACAAGAAAAGAGCCCTGTTTTCATGTACTTTAAGTGTCACCAAAAATCCAATTTTGCTCGGATTTTGATAAAATTTCCATTCTTGTTATCCCAGATACTTGTGTCATCATATCCAGTAGATATCCCAACTTCTTTGAAATTTTGAATTTTTTCGAATAGTTCATCAGCTAGAAAATTTCGAAAATTTCAAAACAGTTGAGATTGCTATTGAATATTATCAGGCAAGTATCTGGGATCACAAAAATGCAAATTTTATCAAAATCCGCGCAAAATTGGATTTTTGGTGGATTTTTGAAGTTGGTAACTTTTGTGGTTTTCATCCCTTTGAGTGGGTGTGGCGGGCGCAAATGTGGCCATGGAGTCAAACCGCTTCAGGGTTTTAGTACACTCATGGGACCCTACCACATATCCAAAGGGCATCGAGATCTGTGAAGGGCAGGTGGTGACGCTCTCCACCTTAGATAATTGATATAAATCATTAAATCTCACTAAATCTCACTGGGCGATATATATGACGTGTAACCCTGTGTCCAGCTAGTTAAGGGTCGACACACATACCAAAATTACCACCATACATGACTTATTAAACAAACTGAAGAATTTTCGTGCAAAATTCACTTTTCGTCAAGTTGTAACGATAAATATTTCGGCCATGGATAAGTTTCCTAAGCTAGTAGGGACGTTGACCGAACTTAAAGAAAGGGCAACTTACATCAGGCTGACGTCCCACTTCATGGTTGGCCTCCATATTTCAGAAGGACGAGAAATTAAATCTGCAGAATATGCCCTCCAAGTTACAAATACTTTTGCGATAATCAATTTGGATTTCGAGTTAGAAGAAATGTTAGCCGGGCTGGGAGAAAAGAGAACCCCCCACGTTGTTAGACATGTAGAGTCACAAATATTCTTTTCGCGTTTGCTAATTAGTTGTAGTCGTGGTTTTTTAAATCACATTGTATATCAAAGTATTGGTCAATTGGCTCAGTCTGGCTTACTTAAATTTTGGTATGATTTAGAACAGACTAGAAATTTCATTGACACTGTCAGGCAAAAAGCTTCTTTCGAAAAATATCGAAAAGTCTTTGTTATGAAACTATTTGGAGAGAAGCAAGAAATTATATTTGAGGAGGGAAAACAGGTTTCGCTTCCTGCGTTGCGAAGTGTCCTTGGGCTATGTGCAGGTATTTTAGGTCTTGCAATGGCGGCCTTCGTTAGGGAATCAGTGACCATTGACATGTTAAGAAGCTTAGGCATGAAGTGTATTCGAGCTGGGTATCAGTTTGGATCATGGATAAAATTAAATATGGTCGGTGGTGCTTGGCGCTTGCTTTCTGAAAGCAGATGGTTTCTGAAAACAAGTCCACGCGGCATTAACAAAATTCTGAGTGGTTAACAAAATTTTGCATTAATTTCAAAATTCTGAATTGGCAACAGGACATATCAGAAATCCGTTGTAACTTTAACATAAACTACTTACTCATATTCTAATTTAGATTTCGTTCAAATTTTGTTGCAAAATGTGTTGCAACTGTGTTCCTAAAGTTCACAACTTTAGCCGGCTATTAACATCATTATCAGTTTGTTTAAAGATTCGGAATAAATAAAGGATTGTATCAAGCGATTCCGCTAGATCTATGGATTAACTTAAAATTCTAACCAAAATTTCATAATTCGATCGTGGCATACTAATACGGAAAATGCAATTATTTTGCAAATTTCAACATATTGAAAAATTGGAGTCCGAAATCGAGGCAGCGGCCAAATTCTAGTATAAAATAATTTTTAAAATTATTTCCCGCGATATTTGACCAAAAGTTGGACTAGTTTGAGTCAAAATCCAAAATTTGCAAAAAATTCGCACATTTTGGCTCAGATCTCGAAAACCACCAATCTACCTCCCCAATATTATTACAGATTCTTCATATACACAAAATTACGAAAATTTCAAGCTATCAAACTTGAAAATCGTCCGAGGGCGAAAAAACACGATCTCATTGTATATATCTATCTTAATAATATTGCGAAGTAGTACGATGCAGTTACATAGGTTAGGTTGCAATATTTATGCGCTATTTACATAAGTTTTTCCTATTGTTTACAATTCAACGGCTTTAGATGACATACCTTAAACTTTAACTTGTTAAATTACTACTTACAAGCTTTTGTCTTATGACTCCGCGTATACTTTGATAACATCTATCCACATGGTGAGTGCAAATAACGTAACGAGAATAATAAAATCACACCGAATTAGATTTCCTGGACATTTGAAATAAATATTTAATAATAATTTAAGAAATGTGTCACATTTATAATAGCCTCTATACGTCATTTGCCAAACCTAACCACCAATAAACTTAAAATATATAAATTCTATAAACTTAATGTTTTCATAGTTTCTAACTTTAACTTCTCTGTTTGTAAAACTTTGGATTAAACTTTTAAAGTTTTTTAGCTTCTTAAAATTCTGTAAGCTTACAAAATTGATGGATTTTACATACTGCATAAATTATGTTGTATAAAAAATTTTAAAACAATTAAATAAACTATTAAACTCTTAATTGGTACTTATATAAAAAAAGTCAAATTATGTCGAATGTTGAGTAATATTTACTTTGCACAACTTTGTTGTGTAAATTTTACGCTTATGAAGTTTAAATTTTGTCCACACGCTAAATAAAGTTGTGCACAACAGGTTGAGTAAAACCGAATTGATGAATTTTTATCCAACCTTGAGTAAACTTTGCTCAACCATAAACCAAAAATTTTCCAATGAGGTCGCATGAATCGGTATTTGCACAACGTTGTAAATTTTGTAATCATAAATTGTGTAAACTGGAGTTTAAACAAGATAGATTAAAATTTTCACAATTGTTGTATAATTTTTATGCAACTAATTACAAAAAATTCATCAACATGAAAGTTGAGAATTTTGTGACACTTAGGAATAATTTTTCCACTCGAGTTGAGTAAATTGCCCACAACAGTTGTATTGAGATTCACCAACCAGTTGTGAGAATCAAAATGACGCTGCCCGGCAACGTTAAATTTCTCATGCCCAGTCACAACTCAGCTCAATTTTGTGACTTCTTTCTACAAAAGTATTGTAAAATTGGATTTTAAAAATGACGGAGCTGTTGGAATCAGTTCTTCAGGCTGTTGGACTTGAAGGACTCTTGGTCACGTTTAAAGGTAAGGGGTTCTATTTATTTGAGCCAACTATATTAACTTTTTTATTATTTATTGGTTGAAATTTTGTATTAAAATATTAAATCTTTTAACTTCATTATAGAAAACGATTTTGACGAGGACCTCCTTCGCCACCTTCTTGACTGGGTTGCTGGTTCACTGGAGGATCATCTGGTTTGGTCCCGTCAATTGGACATCGACTAAAAATAATTGCTGGCATTAAGAAGGTTGAATTGTTGGACGAAGAAAATGAGAATTTGTACGGGTGTAGTTTGTGTAATAATTCATTGAAGTCCTTAAAATTATACTTGGATCATATCAGGAATTTCCACGAGATAATTGGTTCCACCACTAAAATTAGTTACCCATTGTGCTTAATGGACTTCACAAATATTAATAATCTTAGAAAATATGTTCATGAATGTTATCCTGTTCGATGCTTTCTGATCATTCAATTTATCAAACTAGGGAAATTCGTTCACCACCGTCGGCTGTGCTTTCTCTTGGATCTCAAATTAGTTTAGAGTAAGTGAAACAAGGTTTTATTCATGTTGACCGTCCTATATTTTTAAGTATTAATGATTTTATAGTGATGAGTTGTGTACCTGCCATAATTTTGTAATTAGTGTTTAAATTTTATTGAAATAAAAAATTTACTCTTATTATTGTGAACGAACTAAAGGATAATTATTCTAAATGAATGTATGAAAAATACTCATAAATTGAGAACAATTTCATCAACTGTTGGAAAAATATGGCTCAAGAATTGAGTAAAATTTACTGCATAATTGTACAAATTTTAGTTAGTTGATGCGTTATTTTTACTCAACTATGGTGCAGGATTTAGTTACCCCATTTCTCATTTGACTAACTAGTTGGGCTAAATTTACTCAACTATTGTGCGACTGGATTAACCAACCACAGAGTGTGGTTTTTACACAAGAGTTGTGTCATCGCATTTCGGCATCAACAGTTGAGTAAATTATGATAGATAGATAGAGAGTAAGAATTTTTCGATTCAACAATAAGATCCACCACTAATTTTAAAATTTGGAGTTAAGTATTTTAAGATGTTACTATAGCCGATGTGTGATAGTGGAAACAAGTTTTTTTGGGGGGCAATTACCCTGGGGGGCGTTATGGACTTATAACGTGGTATACATAGGGAAATTTATTTCTCTGGAACGGGTGGATGGAATTACAAAATCTTTTTTTTGTTGTAATCTGTACCTAAATACCTCCACCCCTTTTTGGAATTTTTCGGAAATT